AAAAAAAATCCTAATAAAATCCAATAAAATCTTTAAAAAAGCCAGTTTTATATTTAATTACATTTTTACTATTTAATTATATTTTTTTTTAAAAAAGATTTTTTTAGGGATTATTATTATTAACATTTAAATTTAAGATGTGATAAACGAAACAAATCACGATATTGGTTGAAAAAATTACTATGTATTAATTTCGAAATTAAAAGTATTATGTGTTTTGTACTTCGAAACGTATGAATCAGAATAAAGAGATTTAAGAGTACTATTTCAATTCGAACAGTTCGTCAAAGTTTTTAAGTTATTAATTCTTACAATACAAGGTACAGTTTGGTGCTTCATTTGTTCAAATATGGGTCATTAAAATCCGTCCGTTTTTTTTACCTATTCAAAATGATTAAAAAATTCTTTAAACATTCACCCCAATATATTTCCAATTTTCTAAATATTGAAACTTTATTTTGGAAAATAATAAAATGTAGTATAATTTATATGCGTCATGCTTAGCGCCGAGATACTAGCAGTGTCTCCAGATAATTTTGAAAAACTCAAAGAAATTTTCACGAACAGAAATCACTTAATCACTAATGACCTTGTACGGTAAGAATTAATTGGCTACAGTAGAGAATTTCTATAGTCATTCGAAAACTTCTTTATTCTCTTTTCCAAGGGTTGGAAAAATCCCAGATTTTTTTAAAAAAGCTCAACTCACTAATTTTTTAGGGATTTTATTAGATTTTTTTGGATTAAAAAAATTTATTTTTCTTATACAAAAAATTCCAATAAAACTCTCAAAAACAAATTTCGGGTTTTTTTAAACGAATAAAAACTAAAACATTTCCTTGGGTTTTTTTGGGGTAGATAAAATAATATCAACCCTGTTTTCTAGTCACTTGAAAAATTTCATATAATAAATAAAATATTAATCATTTAATAATATCAATAAAAGCCGATACTAGTTATTGTTATATATTAGCAATTTATTTCGCATTTAATTGAACAAAATATTTCACAAATGTTTCGATCCTGCGTTTTGGATACTCCTCAGTATTAACATAAAGTCTACTTTCCCTAAAACTAATAAGTACCTATGTCAAAAATAGTTTTGCAATTATAAGTAGAATGCAATTACTTACTATGATTTATGTCGAGTCAAATGATGCTTCCTCGTTTCTTTCATCCATTGAAATAAATTGCTAATACAACAATAACTAGCATCGGCTCTTATTGATATTATTAATGATTATTGATTTAAGTTATATAGATAGAACTTTTAATCATTATATGAAATTTTAGCCTAAGATCTTATTTTTTATAACTCTTAACGATAGTTGTTTCTTTAGACGATGTCATTCTGGCTTTTCGCTTAGATGAGCAATATTAACAAAATGTCGACATCCCATCTTGTCGCCTATTGTCAATAGGCATTATTCTTCTTCAAAATTCATTTTTTAAATTTCGGAATTGAATTTGCACAGTTTATCTTTTATCCTTTTCAATTAAAAGAAAAGAAGAAAGAATAGATCTATTGTTAATGTCAGAGTTTATACCTACAATAAAGCTACAAATAATATAACAATGCCGACTGTTATTAGAGTTATAGAATAAGAGCCTAAATTTGGAAGTACTGAATTATAGCAATGAATTATAGCAATAAATAAATTGCAGCCATAAATAAATCATAGTCATAAATGATTTATAGATTTTAATACGATCTCTGTTGATTGTATATATGTAATGGTAGCATTAAATATAGCATTCTAATCTCGGTCCTAATTAAAAATGACCTATGTAGTGATATTTTGAGATAATGAGGCTTAGAATTTTAAAGTTGGAGCATAAATCTTTGCATAACGCATAATATATAAAGCATAAGATAATAAATCAGAGGCTTTCATAAAGGAAAAACTTTGATTTATTAATTCTCTTGTTTATGAAAAAATTATGGCTTTGGCCCTTATTTTTGAAAAATAAATATTATGCTCTATGAATGAAAATACTAGGGAAATTCATAATATATAATTTTTATATGTAATATATAATTTTTCTATTGTCGCTATACTGAACTGTATTAAAACTTTATCTTGCATTTGCAAAACTTCATATACATATCTATATCATTTTAAATACGAATGTATACTAATTCAGCTACAAAAAACAGTCTTATGAATGATACTTCGTCATAATTTGATGAGAATTTTAATAATTTTAATAATTTAATGCTTTTTTCAGGGTGGAAATACTTTTCTCATTAAAAATCAATCGGTATTTACAAGCAAATTATTACCACATTATTACAAACATAACAATATGGCTAGTTTTATACGACAGCTGAATATGTGTAAGTTTTTGCAACTTTTAAATTTTTTTTAAAACATAGATAATATAGTAAAATAACAATAACAAAATATTTATTAATGTTTTTTACGTGTTAGATGGATTTCACAAGATAGCATCTGTAGAATTGGGCGGTTTAAAATGTGATAAAGATGAAATAGAGTTTGCGCATCAGTACTTTTGTAAAGGTTCTCCTCATTTAGTAGAAAACATTAAAAGAAAAGTAAGTATGTTAAATTAAAAGTTGTTGTTTGAGATGTTTTATAGTGTAATAATTCTTTATTCTTTAATTTTCTTAATATTAAAATTAATTCAAAAAAATTTCAAAAATATATATATAGTGTAAAAGATTTCCTATATTTATATATTTATGATATTCTTAATTTTTCTACAAAAATTATTACATATAAAATTTAAAACTGGAGCTTTGTAATAGCGCGCTTTTCAAATCTCCCAACTTAATAACAAGATTGTCCCTACTTTTATATCATGAAACTCAGAGTCTTATTGGGAACTATTACTCCCACTCATGCTATTCACATGTTTAACACATATTGAAGGGATTTTGTGCATTAATTCGAAGTTTATTATTACGAGGTTCCAGTGTAATGTAATAACGTAGTATGATATGTACAGATTAATCCTGAATGTTTCAGTTAGAACTTTGAGATTTTATAGGTAATTTAATTTTGAACAAAAAGTTTACTATATACGTGAATCGAAAAATGATTCCTTAAAAAGTTATCGTCCAAAAACCTCTAAATCACCTCTAAATCATTATTTTATATATTTTTACAAATATCAGAAAATGCGTTTTTTAAACAAAATGAAATGAAAGCTGTAGAAAATTAAATTATTTTTCAAATAATTATACATTCTCTGATATTTGTAAAATTATATAAAATAATCGTGATTTTACACAAAGATTTTTGGACGATAACTTTTTAAGGAAGCATTTTTCGATCCACGTTTATAAGAAACTTTTTGTTCAAAATAAAATTTTTTATAAAATCTCGAAATCTGACTGTGAAACGTTCGGAACCACCCTATAAGTATAAGAAATTTTTTTCCCTTTTTAAATCCTTTTAAGCAAAATCGGAAGTATATAAAAAATCTTTCTAATAAAATTTACAAAAGTTTAAATAATAAACCTAAATTATAAAAGATTAAATGTTACATCAACATTTTTATTACGGAAAATCTGTTCTTTTATTAGGTTACAGCTAACAAAAATCAAGATTTATTGCATTCTTCTTTTAAACCAGAAGTAGTGGATAGGATGTTAATTGAAGTAAGAGAAATGAAGGAACGTCAAAAAACTATGACTGATGCTTTAAATGAAATGAAATTGGAAAATTCATCATTGTGGACAGAATTAATGATATTGAGACAAAAACATTTGCAACAACAAGAAATTATTAATAGATTAATTCAATTAATTCTTCTTACTCTTGTACAACCATCGAGGAGTGGACTATCTGTTAAAAGACGATATCCATTAATGATACATGATACAAGTTGTTTAAATAAACGACGTAAATTGTCTAAGGTAATATTATAATTATTGTTTAACTTATTATTGTTTATTATTGTTAAGTTGTAACTTATTATTGTTATATTATTATTGTTTATTTTTTTAATTAATTACTATAACAATAAATATTTATATTATAGTCGCAAGAATCTCCTACAGGACCAGTAATTCATGAACTTGATGCATCGGAACCTGATGTGGACTCAGACTACATTGCTGAGTATGTGAATAAATTTAACATATTGCATTTAACATATTGCATTTTAAATGTAATTCAAATTTAGTCTTGCTTATTTGGAATTAATGTTCTAATAAAGTTGTTAGCGATCAGGGAAAATCAAGAAAAGTCACAGAATTAAAAAATAGGAAAACCGAGTAAAATAAAGGAAATTTTTTCTTTTTCGCTAACAACCCTGTTAAAGAAGTAAAAGACTCAATACATGTATGGATAAAGAAAAAACTTATTAATTATAATAATCTTATTAATTATAATAATTTATTTTAGTATATTGAAAAATGAAAATCTAACCGTTCAAAGTCCACAAGAACATATTGAAACACTGACAGATGAAGAAAATATGGGAATTGTATATACATCTGAAAATAGCGATCAGAATCCTGAGATTGAGACAAAGAGGAAACTTGTTTGCAAAGGCAAAAAGAAGTAAGCTTAATTTATATTATATTATTTTAACGAGCGTATTTATACGTATAAGTTAATTTCTAGAAGAATTTATCACAGATAAAACAAACTTAATAGAACGTTATATATATAATAATATACACAGTATTTGTGTGTGCAGAAAGTATTATAGATAAAACAAATTTAATAGAGTTATATATACAGTATTTGATATACAGTATTTGATATATATATATACAGAAAGTAGACACAATATTCTTTATAAAATTGATTCTTGATTGAAAAAAATTGATTCTTATTAGAAAAAAATATAGAAATATAAAATATTCCGATATTTTTATAAGCAGAAAATAAAAGTAAAATTTATTGTAACAAAATCTTACTTTTTGAATTAATCGCTAAGTATTAAATATTAAAATTTTTATTTAACAAATTTTGTCTCAAAATTTTCTATGAAGAATTCGTGGAAAATAAGGAAAAGCCTCTAAACTTTAATTAAATACTGAAAATTATCTTACGAAATAGTAGTGCAATATATCGGAAATTAGATTTACATTATAAAAGTTATTATGATAATAGAATATAAAAAAATGTAAAAATCTATAAAATGTACATAAATATTCTAAGTCATTAAAATATATACAACTAATCCAAGTCATTAAAATTTAAGTCAATATTTTTATTTACTAATCAGTTGCATTCAGTAGAATTTAATAATATTTAAAAATTTCATATTATATTGATCAAATTTAAATATTATTAGCAGGAAAAACAAGGTGCCTGTCAAAATTGTCATTCCATCATTGGAAAACGGAAAACAATCAAGGTTAAACCTAATTTTTGTTTGTTGGTATTCTGAGAATTGCTTGTAATTATTTTGTTATGTAGAGTTACTATTAATGTATGCTATTTCTTGCATGAGTTAGATTTTTATGATTGTTTTGTAAAAATATAATTAAAAAAAAAATATATATATATATATGCATT